AAGTTGCCTTCATTTGAGCTCAGAAGGTTTTCTGTGACCTTGATTATCATTGATATGATGGGCTGAGCTGTGTTGTTTGATGGCAGGGAATTCTGAAGCTCTGTCAACACATTCATAATGCTGAAAACAAAAAGAACATAAGTACAACTGTCATCTCTCCTACAAAATACATACAGTATATATATAAAAATATAATTAGAAAGTAAGAGTGAAACAAAGAGAAAGAACAATACTCAACAAATATATAGTCTCTACACTCACAGTTCATTCCATTGATCAAATCCAGCAGGCTGGTAGATTTTATTCAGATAGGATAAAATGCTGTTTTTAATGGGAACCAGCACCACAACTGCCTCCGCTGGTAAAAGAGTATGAATCGCTCCCTCTACCATCTGGATAGTCTCCTGTGTGAGGGTGCTAGCTTGGGCATAGCTCATATTGGAGTTTAGGATCAGCTGAAGGGAACCGTTGAACGCACCAAGAATATTGTTAACCACATCCTGAGGTAGAGCTCCGGTTTCATTAGAAATACTCTCCAGAACCACTCTGACTGTGCTAATGACAGCTTCTGTAAAATTTTCACTTTGGAGACCACCATCAGTGCTAGCCACATGTAGAGTGTAGGTTAGTGTCTGAGACACCTGCCCAGCAACAGCCAGGAAGGCTCTGTCCTCAGGGGAGAGTAGGGGAGCCATGGCTTGGAGGAGATGTTCAATATCCTTCCCAGGTGTTGTGATATCTATAGAGCTAATTTCCCACTGGAAAATTGTAGCAAGTACAGTCATCACTTGTGGGTTAGTGATCCACTCCCTTGTCAAGCTGAGGTAGGTCATGATCTGACCTTCAATTTCAGCAGGAATACTAATGTTCATTGGGGAGCCTAGAGAATTGTAGAAGGCCTGCTGGATCTCAAGATTTCCTTTAATCAATGCCAGCTCACCCTGCAGCATGGTCATGATTGTACTGGCAACTTTTACAAGATCTTCACCTTCCGGAGGAAACCTCACATGGGTCAAGTTCTGGATCTGATTCATTGTTAGAGTCACCATATCTGCTTTTGCAGTGATGAGTGCCACCTGCATTTCAGTCATGCATTTCAGTTGATGGAGAATCTCTGCAAACATACTGCCACTGGTGTCATTTCCAAGCTTGTTTAAATACCACAGTGTGATTTCTCCATACACCTTCTGTGCATACTGCCCCTGCACCATCAATGTTGAATTAATGGTGTGGTATGGGTATTGTTCTCTGAATACATTTTTCAAGAGGTCTTCCAGAATGTTGAGCTCATTTGTAATATCAGTGATGTTCTCTACATCAAGACCCTGAAGGTTTTGTCTGATGGCTGACAATGTTGTTATCAGCACCTCTTCTGTCAATGCAAGTGGGCCAGATCCAGAGATGGACATGTTATTTAGCTTCTGATACTCTACCGCAGTGATGTTAAGCAAATCTTTAAGAGTCATTTGAGCGTTCTCTGCCACAGGTATTACTCCAAGTAAACCAGAAGCAGTCTGGATGAGCTGAAGGATGCATTCGACCTGTCCATTAGCAGGAGGCTTTTGGGGAGACTGTGTGGTTTGAGTGTTCACGCACTGTGGGATTTTAATGGCCATATTCAGAGTCTGCAGAATGGCTGTTGACCAATTAGAATGAAATACAGAATTTACTTGTTCTAATTCAGAAATGGTGAGATTGGAGGCTTGTAGACTTTGACTGATGTTGAACATAGGAGATGCATAAGCCTTGTCAAGAAGATATTGAATCTTCCTGGAAATTTCCATTGAGGCTTCCGCTGGCCGGGACATGTTCCATGGCAGAAGCAAAGCGAGCATATCAAGCGCAACAGGGAGAGTCATGTTACCCCAAAGAGGTGTTATTTGGATGGTGATATTATTTCCAAATACAAGCATTGCACCAAGATTATCAATTACATTCTGGATATCAGCTACACAGTCCTGGCCAAGAGCTGAACAGATCTCTAGATTTCGAATGAGATCATGAGTCTTATTTAGCCCTGCTTCTAACTGATACTGCTGCTCTGGAGGCAAGATGGCTCCAAGTTGGCTCAAAATTGCTTGAAGAACTGCAAAACCCTCCTCTATGTTTAGAATCTGGATGGACCCATTGTTCAAGACCTGAAGGACGCCCATGATGATTGGGTGCATGCTGGTTGTCTGGGAACCTCCTGGCAACAGGTTCTCTATCTGCCCCAGTCCAAGAGCCGCCATGATGTCGTTTAAGAGCTGAGTGTCAAACTGCTGTGTGGAATCAATGTTCGAGAGGAGCTGAATTTCTTTATCAACTGTATTAATGAGGTCCAGCAACAAGTCTTTTAGTGAAATGTCACTACCAAGTAGCTGACCAGGTAGGCCATTGGCAATGACTTGCTGCAAAAGTGCCAAGTAACTGTTTTGGAGGAGAGCCACTGTCCCCTGGAGAGGTCTAAAATCAAATGAAAAAGGTGGAATGTAAAGACATTAACTATAATAAAATAATCTATATTGTATCACCAATGGGACTTTTTATGTAATTTCATACATTTTGAAAATCAAATATGCACGTAGTAGTACAGAAGTTTAATATAAAATTACTTTGGCATCAATAAATGTTTTGCAGTAAATAATCACTACCTTAATAGGCTGGCAGGTTCTCTTGACACTTTAGAGATCAAAGAATGAAACAAAAGACCAGCTGTTTCCCAGGTAAAGCCGGTCTGACAGGTGAAGGCAGGAAGGGTCAGAGTGCCTGTAAAAACGTGTGCATAATTCATGGCATATTATTTATAGTATGGTTGAAATAAATAAAATACTGATCATGCAATAACTTTAGTGATTCTACTATGATGTTAACTGATAAGTAAACTGGATATGATTACACTTTGCTGTACATTGTCAATACAAATGTCATATCAATAAAATTGGCAACACTTTACAATAAGACTTACATTTTAAACTTTAGTTAATGCATTAGGTATCATGAACAATTATATGATTTTTTTTCAACAATTTTAGATTTTTCAGCATTTATTAATCTATTTTAAATGTATAATAATAATAATAATAATAATATATATATATAAAATGTAAGTTTATGTTAAAGGGGTCATATGACTGTGACAGGTGGGGGCGGGGCCGAGAGCCGTGGGAACGGAGCGAGGCCGGTGGAGTAATTGATAATGAGTGACACCTGCACCACTCACCGGTCTCGAGTCTCACGGAGGAGCTCCGGAAGGATAAAAGTGAGGAGTGACGACCGTGTTGAAGGAGAGAGGACCAGGCCTGGAGTTTATTTTGTGTTTTGTGTGCGGCAGTCATCCGAGAGGGGCTGCCGCTTTACTTTCGTTTTGTGTTTGTTTATTTTATTAAAATCTTCTTTGAGCTTCCGCTGGTTCCCGCCTCCTTCTTCCCATGACTACGAACTTTGTTACATTGGCTTTTATCCTTCCGGAGCTGCTCCGTGAGACTCAAGACCAGTGAGTGGTGCAGGTGTCGCTCATTATCAATTACTCCCCTTCTTCCCGTGACTACGAACTTTGTTACATTGGCTTTTATCCTTCCGGAGCTGCTCCGTGAGACTCAAGACCAGTGAGTGGTGCAGGTGTCGCTCATTATCAATTACTCCACAGGCCTTGCTCCATTCCCACGGCTCTCAGCCCCGCCCCCACTCGTCACAATGACGTTGCTAAAAAAGAATATTATTTTGTGTATTTGGTGTAACGCAATGTGTTTATGCGGTTTAAGGTTCAAAAACACATTATTCTTCACATAATGTGCATTATTGTTTCTCCTCTATGCCCCACCTTTCTGAAACGCATCGATTTTTACAAAGCTCATCGCCCGCCCCCACTCGTCACAATGACGTTGCTAAAAAAGAATATTATTTTGTGTATTTGGTGTAACGCAATGTGTTTATGCGGTTTAAGGTTAAAAACACATTATTTTCCACATAATGTATATTTTTGTTTCTCCTCTACGCCCCGCCTTTCTGAAACGCGTTGATTTTTACAAAGCTCATAAATTTGAAAAGCGAGGTGTACGCTGATTCCAGCTATCCAGCTACGCCAGCTATCCAGTGCGTTGTGATTGGCCGAATACCTCAAGCGTGTGATGGAAATGTTACGCCCCTTACCATACTGTGATGCCGTGTCCCGGCGCGACGAGATAAAACCAATAAAACCCATTGCAAACTAGGCATTTGTAGCATCCAGTGGGGACATAATTACTGATTATAATGACTTATACTGTGTTTTACGCGTTGCGTTGCATCGCGCCGCATAAACTTAAAACCATGTCTGCATTTGTGATCGGAGAAACGACAAACAACAAGTGCTACTCTACACTGCTCAAAACTCGCGTTTGAATCGTCAGTGGCAAATTCTTTAAATATGAAAACGTACTTACAAGCTGTGAGTCAGCATTATTTGTCAGAAAACCGACATTGTAGGCTACTCTCCAAGGAAACAGTCCTCGTCCTCTGTAAAATGTGTTGCGCACACACACGAAAATATGGCTTAAACTGTTCTGGAACAGTGTTGTAAATACAACTTAACCACTGATTATTAGTCGTGTCCTCTATTGGAAGACCAAACAAAGTAGTTTCGCTTTCACAATGAAGCACACAACATCTCCACGACATGGCGGCGGCAGCGGTAACAACAATACTACAGCGAGAATAGAAATTACGCCTTCTTTCTTTGCGTATACATTTGGGCGGTGTTATGCAAATCTTCCCATACAGTCACGAAGACATGTGGGGGCGTGTTTAAACGAGCCGTTTTAGGAGGGCGTGGACGAGTCTTAACTTTTATAAAGAATATCTCTTTGGGCTTGAGACTTTAGTCTTTGCAACTTTAGGGATCTTATCTATTCACAAACAGCTTGTAACACTCCAAAGAGAAAGGAAAACTTGAAATTGCATCATATGACCCCTTTAATATATAGTAAAACAATAAAAACATTCTAGATTTAAAAACCATGTAAAATGATTTCTCATTGTTATAAAATTAACAACAATAACTGTTAACAACAATAATCAGATGTTAAGACCCAAAGCCTACTGATTTATGAAAGATTCACTTTTTTTTTTATTCTCACAGTTTGGTGATGCAGTGGCATTAGGTTGGTAGGTCAAAATCCAATAAGCCATGTGGAAATATGGTTCCATGGAGGGCCACAGAGAGCTGTTCTCTAGTGAAGAACCCATGTTCTCAAATGTGCCAGTAACCCTTTTTCACAAGAAATTAAAATACAAATAAACACATAAAATGAGTTTAATATGTGATAAAGGTACTTAGCTCGGCAAATCTGTTTCTACAGAGACTGTTATAATTCTCAACAAGTAACATCCTTGTCACATAGTAGTTATTGACAAATAGTAGGTTTCTGACCTGGTCAACAGAATCTGGGATAATCCAACTGAAATGTTCCCTGGGATCCAAGCTGCAAAATAGTCCTCATTAAGCTCAGTTTGCAATTTCTGGAGGGCAGTGACATACTGAAGGGAGGTTGTGTATAGACTGTGCCACTCTGCCATAAGTATTGAGGGTGTGACATTGTACATTACAGTTCCATTCACTACACCAACCAACTGTTGGACCTGTGAAAACACATTTAGTTTAGGTAGTACTATAATCATTCATTTCTATTTTTTGTCAGATAATGTTTTTTTTTTTTTCTTGTCAAAGTTTGAAATATTATGGCCATCTGTCCTAAATACACCCCCTTACCTTCTCATTTACTGGCAAAAGTGATGTTAACAGCATTTCCTCAAGACGTGTGTCATTCCCAGCGCAAACTAGAGTGCCCCACAACTTAAGGTTTATAGAGCTGTAGGTTGACATCCAAGCCCAGGGAGCAGAAAGGTCTTTGCAGCTAGTGTGACCCTCTAGAATCTGTATGAAAACATTAGAGAACATCCAGTGTGACAGATGAAGACTTTAATGAAAACTACAAAAGCGCACACTTTTTTTAACCCACCTTGGCCACAGTTTGCACAATAGAGTCCATGGCAAGGTCAGCCCAGGCATTAGCAAAGGTCTCATTCTGCATTAGAGAAAGGAAGGCCTCCTGGACATACTTGGCATCCCTCAGGACCTCATCAATGAATGCTGTCAAACAGATAATGATAATTCAGGTAATCAGTTTGTCAAGCATTGGAAGCTGTTTGCATAGCGTAATTCTCTGCACATGCTGATACATACGTAGCTGTACTTCCATTGCAACTTTTGCCATCTGCATTGATGAATGGCCAGCCATCATAAAAGTCTGAATGTATTCCCAACCAGGCATGCCTTGTAGAAAATGAAATGCTGAATTGCTTAATCCGAAGATTCTGAGGGGGAAAATGATAAATAGGTTGGATTTCAGGTTTACCAACTTTAATAACAAGTTTCTTTTGTTCACTCAGATGTCAGATGAACCAGCAGGAAATGGCAGTGAGAATTTAAATAGAAAAAAGAACCTGTTGTACAAGAACCTGTTGTACAAGAACCTGGTTTATATTTATATATTAATCAATTTTCATACAAAAGGTAGTGGACTAATACTTTGACAAATTCTCTTGATAAACATTAGTTTGATTTATATAAAAATCCTCCTACCAAAGTTAAAAACAACCTACATCCTGGAAGTAAACGCTATGGTATCTATGACGCAAAGTCATCTGTCACATGGAATAATCAAACCAGATTTGGCAGATGCCATCAAAGCCAGGTTGCATGACATGCACTCATCCTCAAAAACCACAAGCAAATCTATGTAAGGTAAGTGAAAATTCAACCCATAAAATACAATAAATTTGGGTTAGATACTGTGTTGGGTCATCACTTGATGTGAAATACAGAACCTGAAAGAAAACTGTACTTGTTGTAACAAGAAAAACATTTAATTACTGCATCAAAATTCCATCTAAACAGATGCAAAGTAGTCTGGGTTGACATACAATTGTTCCCCCAGGCTCTGTGGCTGAGCGTCACTGCTGCGCTGGGACCTGCTGTGTTTGAGAACAGCATCCAGGCTCGATGGAGACACTAGGCCCAGCAAGCTGCCGAACACGTCTTTAGTGAAGGCCAGGTCAGCTGAGGCAGAGGTCTGACTCCAAGCCAACAGTACCTGTAGGGATGAGACATGTTACTGTGTAGCGAATCAGCTCATGGGAAATATGAATAATTAACCATAACTAGTTATAATTAACTATTCATAATGGGCATTTACAATATTAAAACAGCATGCATAATTTAAATGTAATGCAGAGTAAAAGACATATGCAAGTGGGTTTGTTCCAAATATAGTATGTAATATTTGTATGTAATGGTCAGTGTGACAGTCCTACTAATTACTCTGCATGCTATTTGTCACATACTGCATGACTTCTGAATGCAAAATCATGGTGATTGGATATTGTTGTGGAGTTCCCTCTGTGTCGAGGGGAATATCTAATTGGCATTCCCTGAGAACTGCTGCATATACTTGCTTTTTTTGCAATCAGTCTCAGTGCAGCTAGCATGCTGTTTTGTGTTTAGACTGAGCTGGTTTCCTAACATGCGCAGCAGACATTTGTGTGTTTTCCCACAAGACAGTAAGTAAGGAGGAGGAACCGCAAATGAGTTTCTCACCCTCTCAACTACAACACGGGTTAGTAAAGTTCGGAAGTGTTATTTAATATGGCTTATTTCTAAAAAATAGAAAAGCAGATATTTGTAGATACCAATATATGAAAAATGTACCTGTTCAACAACTTTCCACGTATTTACCCCTTCAAATATCAGGCCCGCTTCCCAACTCCAACAATAGGAGGCGGTGATGTTTTGGTCACATAAAAAGGTACGAAAGTCTGCCTCCTTGAACAGCACTAGAATCTGAGAAGGTCAAAATATGCATGAGTGTGAATGATTGTGTGTGAATGATTTGTGTTTGTTTATACAAACTCCTAATCTTCTAACAATATAAAACAGATGAGCTAGTTCTCTGAAAACCTAGTCTGCATAGGCAAACATTAGGGCATTATACGCCAATCCCCATGTGAAAAATGTTGCAAAATATCTTTTGTGAAAAGTATTTGTATTGTGCGTCATTGCTAATCAAGCTGTCATTTTGTCAATTTATGCAATGTAAGACATACAATAACTAAACGTATCAATCAAGAGTTTCATGTTAGAGTATCATGTCGTTAAATTAGCAACACGCTAACACCAAACTCTACTGAAATCAGCTGTAATACTAAATTTATAAAGAAGAATTACTAAATACAACTTTTGAACAGAATATTCATATTGTGCATCATTTCTAATCATTTTGTATTTCTAAATTTGTGAAAAATTGTGTATATTGAATGCACATTTAATGCTAACTAAGAAATTAGCCATAGCAAAACATAACAAAAAAATTTATCTTTAAAATGTTATTTCAATCGATGCCATTTCGACCACAGAATAATATTAAACGCAACACATAACTTAAGATGTGGTGAATGTGGCACTGGTGGAAATATTCATGTAATTTAGAAAAAATAATAATAATAAGATAATTATCTTTTGATGCATGCATATGCACAGTTGTAAGTAGTTTGTGGACAAATTACACATCAGTTAGAGGGTGAAAAGGTGTTTCAAATGAATTTGTTTTCTCAAAGTTTATGGAGCTTTTGGCTTTATACACATAGTTTAATAAATACTCATATTCTGAACAAGGAACCTGCGCTGAGCTGCCATGAGAGGCCTACCTGATCGAGAGGAATCTTGATTTGGTTGATAAGGTCCTTCACGTCTGAGTTGAGTAGAACAATGCTGCTTGGGGTCACGACATCACTCAGTTTGAAATACACATCTATTTAAAACAAGAGAAAAATATGACTACACTTTTGACCAACACATGAGAGCTCTTCTGTGAGTATGCAGGCTGGCAGACAGCATTCTAAAGCACTTGAAAGTTGTATGTCTATGCACATTTGGGGGAATGTGCTGGTCAAAAAACCACAGTGTTAGTTAAATCTGAAGAAATCTGAATACATTTCGGTGTCAGTACCATCACAAATGGATTTTATAAAAATGACTGTTTTCAAACTGGTTTCCTGAACACTCCCCCTTCCTCCCAATAGTCAAACAACCAGATAGCCCTGCCCTAAACTCATACGATTGGACGAAAGCAACCTATGAATGGCTTGCATATGCATATTGATGCATATTAAAAGGGTCAAAAAAATTAACAATCATTGTTCATTAACAATGAAAAAATTACACCCTTCAGTTTTACGTACTCAAATAATAAAATACACTTAGCTTTCTTCTCTAAGAACAGGCTGTAATTGTCGTGTGATCATTTTTCACCTTGCCAAGTAGGATGATCACCATTTATAAGACAGGGTGTGGTGCACATCGAACACGTAGTCTGGACTGGTTTTGACAATTGACTCATTGGTCTCTAAATCCCATAATAATCAACATCTCTCCAAAAATAGTAAGCAACCTGGCAGCCAGTAACCTGGGTTTATAAACCTTACTCAAGGGCAGAATGGTGGTAACCAAAAAAGGTTCATGCCAGCAGTGTTTTTTTAACAACCTTCCCTGTTTATCCTTACCTAATGGGGAAAAAAATCTCATCTAACAAATTCAGCGTGTCCAGAGGCACTATAATGGCATTTGATAAAAATTGTGCTATGTGGTACAAATATTTATTTAGTTTTTCCAAAGCCCAAGGTCACTTTACAAAGTTAGATGAAAAATGCGCGTGAATCACTTTTATGAACATATATATATATATATATATATATATATATATATATACATACAAAAATAATACATAAATAGTGTGAATCACTTTTATGGTTCTTTAAAAAGGGTGACTTTTCTGTCAGTTTGTTGAAACTTGGCAGTAACTAGTCCCTGCATGCTTTTGTTTAAATGGGTGTAGATAGATAAATAAATAAATAAATAAATACTGGTATAAATACACAAAGCCCAATACAAAGTTAGATGAAAAATGCGCGTGAATCACTTTTATGAACATATATATATATATATATATATATATATATATATACATACAAAAATAATACATAAATAGTGTGAATCACTTTTATGGTTCTTTAAAAAGGGTGACTTTTCTGTCAGTTTGTTGAAACTTGGCAGTAACTAGTCCCTGCATGCTTTTGTTTAAATGGGTGTAGATAGATAAATAAATAAATAAATACTGGTATAAATACAGGTTTGGAATATCATGAGGGTCATCACAGCACATGTTGCCCTGGTTGAAACTTTCCTGACCCATGATTTCCTTAAAACGAGGCATGTACTAATGTCTAAATACTGAACATTTCCTTGTAACAGGCTGACTGATCACCAAAAACAACCATGAGCAGCCTATGAGTGCCTATACAAAAAAATATGTGAAACTACTTTCAGTTTAGAATAGGCATTGTCTTGTAATTAAAGAAATGATTGCCACAAATACCATGCAGTTCACCAAACATGTCAAACAAGTCATCTTCAACACACCTCTCCCTTTCCAGTCACTCATGTAGTTGAGAAAGCCAATGCCTTTAGTGATAGCTGTGTTTGTGACATCAGTAGAGATGTTGGCCTGAGGGAAAGTCCTCCGAAGGAAGGTCAAGGTACTAAATGCAAAAAAGAGAGGCTAAGATTCTTTGCAACCAGTCAATAAATGCAAACATTACATGTAAGTAAGCATGTAAGTCACACATAATGGGAAGGTGTACTGTTGTGAATATACACATCAGACTGAATTTGTAAAACCAAGCTGGGCACCCACATACTAATGTGGTTATGGAATTACCCAGAACCAAAAAACATGCACAAGAAGTAAATAGGCACTGAATTGGCTGAACTTTCCAGTGCACAATAAGTACATACACAAAGTGAAGCCTTCAGTGTCACATCATCCTTCAGAAATCATTCTAATATGCTGATTTGGTGCTTAAGAAGCATTTCTTATTTTATCATTGAAAACAGTTGTGCAGCTTAATATTTTTTGTGGAAACCGAGATGCAATTTTTGTTTAAGGGTCATTTAATTAATAGAAAGAGAATAGCATTTATTTGAAATAGAAATCTTTTGTAGCATTATAAATGTCTTTACTGTCAATTTGATCAATTTAATGCATCGTCGCTGAATAAAAGTATACATTTATTTAAAAAAGTCTAACCCCAAACATTTCAAAGGTGGCATATGTGAGCAATTTTTATTTAAACAAGTTCTCAAAACTCACTTCTTAAGATTTTCCAACTCCCCTGCTCCAACATTTAATATCTCTTCATCTGTGGGCTTCAAGAAGAGATCAGGCAGGCCAAGCAGGAAGTCCCACAGTGACGTCTCCTGTTGAAGCATATCTAGGACCACCACAGTGCCTCCAATCGATCCCAATATTTCTGTCGGGTTACTGAGCAGCATTTCTGTCAGCTCCTGGCAACCCACACAAGTAAACAGATGAACATCAAAGGGATGTCTAATGATTCACTTAATGTCTTCGACATTTGTGGGCATAATGTGACTAGACTGAAAGATTATGAACAGTGTAGGAGGTCTGACCCCACCTGGTTCAGGGTGAGTAAGGATGCTTCCAGAACAGTGTCATTGGAACTGCAGAAGTTTATTAAGCCTTTCGTAAAGAGATCCTGGGTACTGGCTGATGTGTTGATGGCAGTCATGGAGAAGCTGCATAAGGATTTTTTCAAGACATTCACAGATTCCAAAACTGACTCCATTGTCTACAACAAAGAAAAAAAATCAATGAAGTAAGTAACTGGACATTGAAGAATGTTGATATTTTGAAAAATGTTGGTAATGAAACAGTTGCTGGTAGCCACTGATTTACGTAGTATGGAAACAAATACTGTTGGAGTCAATGGCTACCAGCAACTGTTTGGTTACCGACATTCTTCAGATTATCTTCATTTGTAGCAGAAAAAAAAATAATACAGGTTTGGAACAACATACGGGTGAGGAAATGACGACAACATTTTGGGTGAACTATCCCTTTAAGTAGCCATATTGCTTAAAATATACATTCAAAGGATAATGATTACTTTTTAATGGACCATTACAAAAAATACACAACAAACTTTGACTACTGACTATTACCAAAAAAAAAAAAAAAAACTTATATGATGATATTTTGTATTATCTGTAAAACGCATAAAAATTATTAAAAAATAATTCAGCTTTTATTTATTATCTCCTAAAAATAAAATAAATCTGGTATATACACACACACACACACACACACACACACACACACAAAACATGGATATGTCAAGAATCAGAACACTCATCACTAACCTGATCAACCAGTGCAGTGTTGTTAAAAGTATCCATGACTGAAGTCACATTGGGAATGTTTTGAAAGCTGGAATCTTAAAAAAAAAAAGATAAAGATAAATAACATAGTTAAATAACAGAAACTGATTCATTATCAATTATTTAACACTGAGTGGCTTTGTTTTAAAAGACTGATGAAAGTGTACATACTGAGCATCCTGTCCCATAGCTCTAGGAGCTCTGGATTTGATGCATCCCTTTTAAGGATTGAGTGAACCAGTCCTCCCTTCTGTAGATGGGCCAGTGGAGGGAATCCATGAAGCAGTGTTGGTAAACTGAAATATAAAGAGGACCATGGGAATATACAAGAAGTATAATTAACTATAATGAACAAAAATTCAACTATAATTAAACTTTTGTCAAAGAACAAACTATAGTTTTGTTACTAAAATATAGCATATGGTCATATACTCTCAAAATATGTTAAATAACATAGTTATGTACACAACATAGACATGTAATGTATGATTATAAATGCTGACATTTTTGCACATTTTACTTTATAGAGGCAATTCCACTGAAAAATTTTAAACAAACATATTTTTTTAATTATTAAATGTAATTAATACTTTTTTAAACTTTTAGTTCTTTTATATGTTAGTCTAATATTAAAAATTTATTTGGAATCAAGGGGACCAAATGCTAACCCAAATGTAAGGAAAAATATTGAAATGTTTTTCTCCTTTTGTGTTTTACAAGGAAGAAACTGTCATACAATTGTCGAGCAATGATCATGACAGAGATCAATTTAAAGGAAATTATCTTAATTATCTCATTTTAAACAAGCGAATGTTTTCTACCACAGTGCTTTAGACAAACATTTTTTTAACCTATAAAAATATTTTTAAGTAGCACTTTTTAAGTAGTTATATTTACAGTGTGTTTTTTGTGTGTTAATGGAAAATAGCATGTAAAAAAGTCCATTCTTCTTCACCAAACATTCTTCAGCAACAATGACCCAGCAAAGGTTTTGAATACAGAAAGTTTCATTGTTGACTCAACCTGGGCATGATACACACAGCAGTAAAATAACTTTTGAACAAACAGCTTTAGTCAACATTTCTCTATACAACAGCCAAATGCTTTTGCTGATCAACTGATCAAATAAGAGAATTCTTAGCTTTATGAATACTGACTAGGCCAAAGGGAACAGCAATGTCACAGGAGGAGCAGTATTTTGCCATGAGGTCCATTATCATCTCATCAGTGATGCATCGACATACAGGTGTGGCCATTGTCATTTTGAACTGAGACATCTTTATTAGACATCACATAGGATTGACATACAGCACACGACATTAGGGTGCTGGCTCATAAATATCACCATTAATGTACACATCTGATCATCAATCATAATATACCAAATATTGAAATCCCCCCCAAAAAACAGACCTCAGACTTTCTGAGAATATGGTGCTACATGAAACAACTGTTTCTGGAAATGTGTTATTTTTTACAGTGAGCGAGATGCCATGCATTACCTGTGAGATTCAGCATCCCTGCGGTGACGATGACCCGTGTACCAATACGATTTGGACTGTCCTTCTGTTAGGTAGGATTTGTTGGTGCATGTACTGTCGGTGTTGCACATGAGTGTCTGCAGGAAAGGGAAGAATCCGGCGCTCGGAAGATTTCTAGGTGCCACATAGCCTGAAAGAAACAGCGCAGAGTTAGGGTTAAAGGAATAGTTCAACCAAAATTTGCAGAAAGTGATGTAGAATGTAAGATGTACGTGAGTTTGTTTCTTCATCTATATAGATTTGGGGAAATTTAGCATTACACCGCATGTCAGAAGGAGAGTCCAAACAACTGATAAAAATATCACAATCATCCACAAATAATCCACACGACTCCAGTCCATCAATTAATGCCTTGTGAGGTCCATTTTTGTAAGAACAGATCCATCAAGGCATTTTAACTTTAAACAGTCATGTGGATTACTTGTAGAATATTGTGATGTTTTTATCAGCTGTTTGAACTCTCATTCTGACGGCACCCATTCACTGCAGTGGATCCATTGGTGAGCAAATGATGTAATGCTAAATCTCTCCAAATCTGGTGAGTACATTTTCATTTCTGGGTTGAGCTAGTCCTTTAAGGACACCCCATGGCATGGATTGTTGAACACCGTTCTTGTGTTGACATATGTTCTACTGAAATGGGACATTAGACAGGACATATCCAATTCATGATTTGCCTTTGCTAGTCAATGGCAGGTGGTATAAGTTCATGTTCTCATTCTAAAAAGAGACATTTGATTGGACAAAAATGTGCATATACATCCATGTGAGTAAGATGAGTTATCAATATTTTGTTCTGCTTAATAGGAAGAGAAAGACTCTAGTCTACATTTTAAATGCATATGTATGTGCTAAAAGTTTATTTAATCAACTTGTATAGGTACACTAGTATACAGATGACCACAAATCCAATAGTCATGGACTAAAAGCCGCATCCTTAGAAGAAATAAAAAATATGATAAGATAAATCGAATGCAAACAGTATCCACCCCTTTCATGGTAAATTTGGGTAATTTCGGTTAAAATGTAAACAATCAGCGACTGCCAATAAACTTGTTTAAAGGTATTTGGTCTATAAAATAAACATCTGAAAAAACTGTGTACAATGAGGTGCCATTATTCACTCACTCCTTAACCATCAAACATCAAAGGGAAATGTAAAAGTGTAAAAGTATTAACAAAAAACCCAAATGAACTATTAACTACTAATAACTATTATTATTCACTGTGAAAAGCTTTCACTGTAATAACTACTGCTGTGTCGCTATTCCAGAATATTAAGAATATTAGGCCTATAAATCCTGCATCAATTCAGTCTTGTATTCTGTAGTTTACAGAAGCAAACAAATTTAAAGTATAAGCACTGACACCGCAAGGCAAACTGCACTTTATCTCAGTGTTTGCAGTTTGTGAATCAGAGGCTGTTCTTTTAAGTCCTTCAAACCTAGCGTAGACTATGATGAGTTTGGTCAATTAATAAAAGTAACTTTCACAGAAGGCTAAAAATGTTTTTCAAAGTTTTATCTTGTTGATAACATGACACACTAAACGTTATAATCACACTTGTGATTGTACAATTCAAAGGGATAACTATGAAATGTGAAAATATTATTTTTTTGTCTTTTGGAAGCAGCATTCAAATCCATTTGGCTCAAAAATCTGAAGGGGAACGTGTACCGTTGGTTTGAATGGGCATGATGCAGCTGATTGTAAGGGGAAAATATTCCATCATTAACTGGAACATTGTCGGATATTTCATAGTGCTTTCCGTCATTTTGACAGATAACAAATATTGTTTTTCTCTGCTAATGATAATACTGTAGATACTTTTTCTCAGGAGAAATATCGGAGAATCAGACCAGAAAATGTCTATGTTCGTTCTTCACTTCATCTAATTGCTATCTGGGGAAAAACAATTCTCAATCATGTTTTCTCAACTTGGGTTGGTTTTTCTCTCCCCGGAGAGGGAGAATATTTGATTTTCCTGTCTGGTTTTATGGTATAGGACTTTCATAGAAACAAACATAATGCTTTGAGTTAAAAGGTACATAAGTGTGATCACTTAAAAGGCTTCATACTGTGGGATTATTGACCTTATACAATGTTTGTCCAGCAAACAGTGTTTGAATGAACCAAAACCATAGAGAAACTATGGAGAACGATATAAAATAAACATGACATAATCTCCTTAGGGTGTAACAAGTATACAAATAATTTACAGAGAAAGTATTATTAACATGAGGAAATACTGACTAGGGTTGTTGCATTAAGTTAGTCATTTACATTTAAGTTTAATAACAGATGTGATTATCGTCATAACCAAAAACATTCTCCTCATATTTATAAAGAATATTAACTTTAGGCAAACTTTTCCTTTAAAGTTGCTTTTCTTCCAACCAATATAATATATGTAATTATAACAATGTAATCAATATTCAATTTATTAAAGCCAAGTATGAATCTCATCCACAATCATCCACAAATAATCCACACGACTCCAGTCCATCAATTAATGCCTTTTGAGGTCCATTTTTGTAAGAACATATCCATCAAGGCATTTTAACTTTAAACAGTCATGTGGATTACTTGTAGAATATTGTGATGTTTTTATCAGCTGTTTGAACTCTCATTCTGACGGCACCCATTCACTGCAGTGGATCCATTGGTGAGCAAATGATGTAATGCTAAATCTCTCCAAATCTGGTGAGTACATTTTCATTTCTGGGTTGAGCTAGTCCTTTAAGGACACCCCATGGCATGGATTGTTGAACACCGTTCTTGTGTTGACATATGTTCTACTGAAATGGGACATTAGACAGGACATATCCAATTCATGATTTGCCTTTGCTAGTCAATGGCAGGTGGTATAAGTTCATGTTCTCATTCTAAAAAGAGACATTTGATTGGACAAAAATGTGCATATACATCCATGTGAGTAAGATGAGTTATCAATATTTTGTTCTGCTTAATAGGAAGAGAAAGACTCTAGTCTACATTTTAAATGCATATGTATGTGCTAAAAGTTTATTTAATCAACTTGTATAGGTACACTAGTATACAGATGACCACAAATCCAATAGTCATGGACTAAAAGCCGCATCCTTAGAAGAAATAAAAAATATGATAAGATAAATCGAATGCAAACAGTATCCACCCCTTTCATGGTAAATTTGGGTAATTTCGGTTAAAATGTAAACAATCAGCGACTGCCAATAAACTTGTTTAAAGGTATTTGGTCTATAAAATAAACATCTGAAAAAACTGTGTACAATGAGGTGCCATTATTCACTCACTCCTTAACCATCAAACATCAAAGGGAAATGTAAAAGTGTAAAAGTATTAACAAAAAACCCAAATGAACTATTAACTACTAATAACTATTATTATTCACTGTGAAAAGCTTTCACTGTAATAACTACTGCTGTGTCGCTATTCCAGAATATTAAGAATATTAGGCCTATAAATCCTGCATCAATTCAGTCTTGTATTCTGTAGTTTACAGAAGCAAACAAATTTAAAGTATAAGCACTGACATCGCAAGGCAAACTGCACTTTATCTCAGTGTTTGCAGTTTGTGAATCAGAGGCTGTTCTTTTAAGTCCTTCAAACCTAGCGTAGACTATGATGAGTTTGGTCAATTAATAAAAGTAACTTTCACAGAAGGCTAAAAATGTTTTTCAAAGTTTTATCTTGTTGATAACATGACACACTAAACGTTATAATCACACTTGTGATTGTACAATTCAAAGGGATAACTATGAAATGTGAAAATATTATTTTTTTGTCTTTTGGAAGCAGCATTCAAATCCATTTGGCTCAAAAATCTGAAGGGGAACGTGTACCGTTGGTTTGAATGGGCATGATGCAGCTGATTGTAAGGGGAAAATATTCCATCATTAACTGGAACATTGTCGGATATTTCATAGTGCTTTCCGTCATTTTGACAGATAACAAATATTGTTTTTCTCTGCTAATGATAATACTGTAGATACTTTTTCTCAGGAGAAATATCGGAGAATCAGACCAGAAAATGTCTATGTTCGTTCTTCACTTCATCTAATTGCTATCTGGGGAAAAACAATTCTCAATCATGTTTTCTCAACTTGGGTTGGTTTTTCTCTCCCCGGAGAGGGAGAATATTTGATTTTCCTGTCTGGTTTTATGGTATAGGACTTTCATAGAAACAAACATAATGCTTTGAGTTAAAAGGTACATAAGTGTGATCACTTAAAAGGCTTCATACTGTGGGATTATTGACCTTATACAATGTTTGTCCAGCAAACAGTGTTTGAATGAACCAAAACCATAGAGAAACTATGGAGAACGATATAAAATAAACATGACATAATCTCCTTAGGGTGTAACAAGTATACAAATAATTTACAGAGAAAGTATTATTAACATGAGGAAATACTGACTAGGGTTGTTGCATTAAGTTAGTCATTTACATTTAAGTTTAATAACAGATGTGATTATCGTCATAACCAAAAACATTCTCCTCATATTTATAAAGAATATTAACTTTAGGCAAACTTTTCCTTTAAAGTTGCTTTTCTTCCAACCAATATAATATATGTAATTATAACAATGTAATCAATATTCAATTTATTAAAGCCAAGTATGAATCTCATCAAGTTAATGTTTTTAAGCATTTTATTTATTCCAAAATAATAATTCAAGGCAGTAACAATTTAAACAATATATTTTATTTGTGACCTTAAGTTCAGCTATTCTTTTTAATAGTTTAATTGAATTTTTCGGATCATCAGTCATCAAAGCTCTTTAAATACTGGTCAACGACACAGAGATATTTACTTTAAATTTCACTAAGCTGATTACTCACTACAAACTCCCACACAGGGGATTTCAGATGTTAGGGGGTCAGAAATGTCAATTGTTTGGGAATAGTCTTTTTTGCCATTTTTGCCATTTTTATCACAGAATAAAGCAGTAAATAGCCAATATTTTATAGTTTCTAAACAAAGGCTACTGTAATAAATGATATGTCAATTAGCACTGCATTATTCATATATTTTATTTATTTATTACCTTAAGATGACTTGAAAAAACACATATAAACCATATATTGTCGCAATCGTGTGTTTAACTGTCTTGACGTTTCATTATGTTTTCATCAAAACATTTCAGATTTTTATTCAGCTTAGCTACAGCGATAGCCGGATGCCTTTGTCCATATTAGGACTTTCCTGGCACGTCATAAGTTATTACTTCTATGAGGCTGTTTTGGACTTTTTCTCTGGCTTCAAATATGAATGAATCATACACTGCATGAGAGCTGATCACAGCCGAACTTAACCAGTCATATCCAATCATATCGTGATGGAGGCATTTCCTCCTCTGACATGACTTTCCCCCATACATTCACAATTACCCCCCCACCACCAATTAACTGCCAATGCACTGCAGAGTTTAGCTTCAACCACGATCAAACTAACCTATAGTACCTGTGATTTTCTAATGATCCTGAAGACATTGAACACCTGAAGGCATGTTCAGGTGTTGTTTTATTTTTGTGCTAAGTATTTTTTTCTCATCCAATATTTTGAGGAGGCACTGCCTTAATTGCCTCCTTGGAGCAAACGCCCCTGATATATATCCGCTTGCTGTATTTCTCACAGCGAGTATCATGGCAGACACCCAAATCCACCATAATTTTATAAATAATGTTTATGTGTCACGGAATGTAGTTTTAACAGTTTTTTAGGTGAGAATGTATTTGTTTAGACTTCAAAAATGCAGTTTGTTAATAAGGATAATGATCTGGCTCTGATGTCTATAGTGGTTAAACATGAGATATAATTTGTTTTGGGCAAATCTAACTGGCAGTCTTTGGTCACATTAATCTATCATTTGTTCCAGAGCAAATAGTTTTGGCTGAGGGCAAAGTCTCATAATGTTATATCTTATATAACTTTAACGCTACATATCAGAGCGCTGCCTTTGTACTTTTGATTTCATTGCCTATAGCAATTTTTATGATGGCTGATGTTGTTGTTGTTTATTAAATATTATTATTCAATAAATATTATTTTATGTAAATAATAGTAGTATTTAATAATAGCATTTATTATTGAGAAATGGTGTGTTTTGTGATGGTGATTTTGGTTACATTATTCCGCCATTAGATGTAGACAAAAGACTGTTTTTAAAAGTGTGTCCACAGTAAATCATTTTATACTGAAAGAGACTAAAAAAGGGTTGTAAGGAAGTTATTTTTACTTTTAACAACATCTTGTAAGACGCAGCCAACAAATTCAGTGAGCAGCGTTGTCATTGGAAATCACCCTTAACAGATGAACAGGCAAACGTCAAAGATATCACTTTCCTCGGCAGACATTCAAACCTATGTTTTATTGTGAATATGAGATTGATCTGAAGAATAAATGCTGTATCAGGTGCAGGTAATCTCTGTAGCGTCTGGACCAATCAAACACACAATTTTTCATTTGATTTAACAAATCAGTTATTCATTAGATTAACAAATCGTCACAGTCCCCTCACCCAATAAACTGGATGCCAGGATGTCTGCAACGACACCAGGCACCGCCTGGTTACCATGGCAACCCTGACACCAGATACATTTACGACCTAATGGCATGTTGAGAAACACCTTTCTCACTACAATTTCCATAGGAAATCCACAGGGCACAGTAGAAATTTACTTTTCTACTAATTAATTCATAGGAAAACCTTTCTTTGAATGAACACACATATCCTTCAGGTCATTGTGTATATTATTGCTGTCTTGTATATTATCTGTTGTATTGTAGACTATTTTATGCATGCTTATGATAGAACGACTCATTCATGTAACCTTACATATAACGTGTTTGGTCTCTATTAATTCGTATTCGGATGATCTAATTGAGAGTGTATATTGTATGTTTATACCTATGCAACATATTAGTGTTCTAAGAATCTTTAGTAATTTTGATCCAAGTTTCATATGCAAAATACCATGCTTAGAGACAAAGGGTCGTAAAACCCTCCAGCAATTGCCACCTCCCGCTTGGAATTTCCGTCTTTCTCATTGGACAAGCCCCTCTTGAGTGGCGTGAATCTTCCGAGACATTAAAAGCCCCACACTAGGGACCCGCCCAGAGTCGGTGGTTCTGTTAGGTTTTGATAAGATACTGTATGAGCTCCAACGCTCCAGAACCTCCTAAGTTTTGTGCCAGGCCTACGGCCTTGATTTTCTATTCACCAAGATTCTCTGACGCAAACTGGTTCTTTTTCATCAACCAACTTCAGCAAAGATCCACGCGAGCCTTCAGATTGCATCAAGCCTTTCTTTCAGACAGACGAGACGTGCAAGTAAACTTAGGAACTTCAAACTTAGTCTTATTAATTGATACATTAGGTATCATTTGCACCTTTTTACAAAGGTGTGTTTGAACTAGGAATTTGATGTTCCCTTCAGGCTTTAGATCTGCTGAATATGCAAATGGTTCCATACCTTCATATTCTTATTTTCTCTCTACTGCGTTAAGCTTTAACCCTTTCCTATACCAACGGTATGTGTGTGTGTGTATGTGTGTATGTGTATGTTAGACCAGTGTGTGTGTTTGTGTGTATGTTAGACCAGTTTAAGTGTTTATGTAGTATGTTGGACTAGTTTAAGTGTTTATGTAGTTAATAAAGCCTTACTTGTATCACACTTGACGTTGTTCATTGTTTGCTCATAACTGGAGTCACTTAATCATGCAGATTTATGCTACAAGCTCTTTGTAGAATTGTACAGTAAGAAAATGATTTCCCTTAACCAGGAAATTAACGTTCTTAGAATTGACAGACAGTTGACCCTGAGAGGTCAAGTAAATATCTACAGCAGATCTAAATATTCATAATTAATTATAACTAGTTATGATTAATTATTCATATTTCCCCATGAGCTGATTCGCTACATCTCACTCACTCAGTCCATTCCTCTCTCATAATACTCTACTCTACATTATACAGTGAGCTTTTAATACAGTAATACAATAAGCTTTTAATGAAGCAACTCAATGTTCTTCGTTACTAGTTCTAAAGTGACGTTTTCGAATTAGTAAGGGACACTTGAGCTCAGCTGTTAAACTGTCAAACTGAGAATTGAATCTGTGGCGGAAGGAAGTAGTTCTGCACAAAAGAAGGTTTTGAAGACACTCCATTGTTGTCTTTTTTATTTACACACTTGTGTCATCGAACTGTTGTATAAACGCAATATCAGACTTGTAGCTGTACGATATGGCTGTATATCAGCACGCTGTGATTACCTGGCTGCAGCCTCGTGCCTACGGCTGTATCACAGCCGTGCTGAAATACAGCCAAATTGCACTGCTACTCTTGTGATATTGCTCATATGCATCTCTCTCTTATATCAAAGTAAAACACACCAACAAGAATTACTGCAAAAGTTTACCACCAACCCCCCAAAAAATATGTTCTAACAAGTTATAAAAGTTTCGGAATGTTCACTGAACTTAACGTTTATAACGTTTAAAAGCATTTTTCTCGGTTATGTGAATGTTAGAGGAAACATTAAAGGTGCAGTAGGGCATTTTGGAAAAATCTAACTTTAGCCTGATAGCACTGAAAGCGTACGTCCCACCCTCCCTGCAAATTGCCGTCCAAATCCACGCCTCCTGAACACGCACAGACCAGACGACCAGAGACAACATTACTACAATACATCATGTGTCATTCACCGGTGAGAAAACTTTATAGTACAGTTAGTAACAGTACTACAATACCAAGCAAGGAAGGATGGTCAGGTTGTTGATGTTTGCCTGCCATGATTCTCGCTCTGTCTGCACAGCGTACATGAACGCGCTGATGATGTATCCTGGCTGCACGAACAGGGTGCGCAGAGGTAGGCAAATACATATTTTGACAGGCAGATAGGAAAGCCTATCATAATGTTCGGACCAAAACATTTTGATTGGACGAACATTTCTTGGACCTATGCGGTCAACAGAATATATAAATACATATAAATACATTTAGGCCACTTAACTTAATGATTGCTATCGGGATGTGAAGAGACTTTCAACCAGCACCTATTGCACCTTTAAGGGTACATTCAATTTTATAATTATGGGAAAGTTACTTTTAAATGTTCTCTAAACCATCTGAAACTAGTATGTCTTAAGCTCTGAGGACGTTCCTTGTTAGTTGGGAAGCTTTAGCACTTGTTTTCTCACAATCAAATGAGTTTTGAGTTTCTATGGATGGATATACAATTAGACAAACAGTGAGTCTGCCTGCACAGAACGGTGCAAGGCATAAGAGAACTACTCATAGGAAAGACCAGGCCTAACAACTCAATCCTCAAGAGAGAGATGTGAAACAACAGAAAACTCCCAAAGGACAGCCAGCTTAAGAAGAAAGATTGCTTAAAAATCACAGAATACGTCTTTTTACTAGTTAATTCCATATCATATTTAAAGAAAACTGGAGGCAAACAGATAATGTAAAATATTAAACAAAAATAACACAGTTTGGGAGATTAGCAACTGGCCTTCCATTATGTACTATAGAAAACACTAGTCTAGAACATTCCCAAACACGACATGGTGTATAACTTCAAATGTTCTCAACCGATATATGACATCAGCCTGCTTAAGATCTGCACCTTGTTACACACGTTTAAATCCTTTAAAATAAATGTATAAAAATAAATAAATAAATCCAGGAAAATGAAGTAAGATATGTTCAGCTGCATACAGAATCTCCATCAAATCATGAATCAAACCTTCAACAATGTTACTGTTCCTTGCAAACACGTTTCACAGTACGGAAGTTACAGCACATTAAGTGCAATGACAGTCCCAATGGGATAACCTGAAAATAAGTGTTTTGCTCATGAGCATAACAGTAATAAAGCAGGATTGTGAACGCCACAGCTTCTGACTCAGACCTTCTCAGGATAGAAGCCACAATCTTTATGTTTACACCAACTCTAACCTTCAGTCACTGTCACGCCACTGAGATCACAACAAACTTAGATACTTAGATGACTTCCTTTTGCAGTCTAAATATAGGATGGTACAGTGGTACATACATGTGTCTTTGAGTTGTGGAGGAAACTGTGAACGGGTGATCGCCAAGATAATAAAGATCACAAGTGGCCAGACAAGGAGAGCCAGCGACCAGGCCTGAAAAAAATCAACAAACAAATGTGCTGTCAGATTTTCCTGTTGGTTATATTGTACATGGTTATTAATCTCAGTATAAATTGGAAGGATTACTAATAAAATTATGGTTACATACTGTATATAGTTAACTTTTTTTTAGATATTACTGTTTGTTTGTATGTATTTATTTTAAAACCATCTGAACATATCATAAAATATGTACATATATATATATGTATATATATATACTGTATATATATATATATACTGTGAGAAGACCTTATTGAATAAGGTTTTAAGGACACAGACAATATTAAAGCGATAATGCACAGCTAATATAATGATAAAGCAAAGATAAAGAGTTTAGAAACAGTGCCTTGGAGTGTTAACTTAATTTTATAACAGCAATATGCAACCAAATCAGCTAACCAAACATGTACAGTATTTGCTTTTACATTTTAAAATTCAGTATGAAAATATATGTTATGTGGAGTCTGTATCCTGAATTCTGAACCTATAGAGCTCCACAGAATCTGGGTATCAGGTCTTTATTGTTGTTGTTCAAGTGTACAGGTACAGGTACAAGTTTACTGGTTTACTCACTGGCTGCCGGGTGACACTCAGGCCATTCTTCCAGAGAAGTAGTCTTAGTTGTTGTAAGAAGGAGGCCATCAGAGGAGAGGTGCTGATATAAATGAAAGACAACGGTAAAATTCAGATAAAAAATAAATAATAATAAATAAATATATATATATACATATATATATATCTGTTTTCTTTTTATTTATTATATGATTTATTAATTTTTTTACTTGCTACGTGTACTGCATTAAGCTAACTGAGACTGGTTATAGCACTTGCATTTCATTGCTCTTTTGTTGATTTTGATTGCTTCCATTGTCCTCATTTGTAAGTCGCTTTGGATAAAAGTGTCTGCTAAATGTCTAAATATAAATGTAAAATTCATTAATAATTACCACAAAGGTATTTATCATTCTGAAAAAGTTTTAATTGAAAACGTAATATTGTACGTTTAATAATAAAACGTAATAATAAAATGTCCATTGTCTAGCTTTGTTGCCTGTAACTTCTGCTGGTGAGTTGTGTCCATGTCTATGTTCTTGTTTTGCCTAGTCAAGCCAAGCCAAGCCAAGCCAAGCCATGTCTGTGTGTATTGTTTATCTGCTATAATAAATAAAACCACTTGGGTTCTCACAACACTCGCATTCAGTGGACATTTTATTACAAACTTACATCCACTGTCAAATGAGAATGCTGTTCTTTAACAGCAGCTTCTACTGTATAAAGCCAACAACCTGTAAGCATGTATTGTTGCAAATATAATTTTTTGTGATGGTCTGTTTTAGTCACTTACAGTAACATTTCAGACAATGTACGACATTCTCACCTTTTACAGTAGGTAGGACACACATTATAATTAATCATTGTACTGAAAGATAACCATCCCATGGAAAGAACCTGAATATTTGCTGATAGAATGATGGCAGCTGTGCTATAGCACAGACACAAGGTTAGTGTTACCCTTCTGATGGTCATTTATGGGCTGAGATCAGCTTTGTTATACTTGATTAAGTTAATAGACCTGTACAAACCAGATAACATTCTCCAAAAACGAACTAAATAAATAAATGAAAATAAAACAGTTTGATCATTTTAAAGCATTATATGGTATAGCCTAGTATGTTTTATTGCACAAATTCTAGATTTATATATTTTCATTATAATGTAATTTGTTATTTATATAAAGGTTAATATAATAATAATAATTTCAATAATAATATATTTAATAAAATAACAAACAAAAAGTATGTATACACAAAAAGAATAATAGCCATAAAAATAATAGAAAAGGATGATTTAAAGTTTGTTCTCACTAGTTTTCTTAGTGCGCTTCTTTGTCTAAAACTGTTCAGAATCATTCATGTAAGCTTTTCCTCACTGATTTGCTTTTTTATGTCATATTAGAACCTGTATTTATTATTGACATAGGCTATAACGGAATCTCAGATATTCACTTTATTATCGCACCTACAAAAGTAATAAATATGAAGACTTCAGAACTCTAAACTTACTATACTACTAAAAGAATATAGATGAAGTTAGGCTATATATTTACCTTGTTTAGCCTGGATTGGATTTAATGTTATTGGGTCCGATGCGTTTGATATAATGAAGACATTTTGCCAGGTTATTCTTAACAAAGACCCCTTTCCATGTGATATTCCACCAACCGACAAAAACAACGAAAATCAAGTATGTAGAGTTTATAATTCGCCTGAGAATTTTTCTCTCTCTCTCGTCAGGTGTTCGCACCGGTGTCAATGATATTCAGTATTCACTTTTCTCTGTTCTATACACTCATTGACTATACAGGTGAGAGGCGGGTGTTTCTCACACGTTGCATGACCGGTTTGAGGATTCCGCGCCTCATGTGTGAGTGAGTCAATCGAGAGAAATTTGATAGGTAAACCTATTCAAGATGTAGGCTATGGATACCCAAAGCTGGGTATTTGCATACCTAAAAGTATCGAAGCTTTAATTTTAACTAAATGTCTCATTGGCAAGGTGGTAGTTTTAGTTTATGCGGTTGTCCAGTAGTTATATCGTTTTTTAAAGGGGTCATATGATGCAATTTCAAATTTTCCTTTCTCTTTGGAGTGTTACAAGCTGTTCATGCATAGATAAGATCCCTAAAGTTGCAAAGACTAAAGTCTCAAACCCAAAGAGATATTCTTTATAAAAGTTAAGACTAAGAGTTAAGTCCATGCCCTCCTAAAACGCCTCGTTTAAACACGCCCCCACATGTCTACCTCACTGTGTGGGAAGATTTGCATAACACAGCCCAAATGTTCACGCAAAGAAAGAAGGCTAACTTTTATTCTCGCTGTGGTATTGTTGTTGGCACCGCCGCCATGTCATGGAGACACTGTGTGTTTCGTTGTGAAAGCTAAACTACTTTGTTTGGTCTTCCAAAAGAGGACGATATCCGCTTCGTCAAGCCTAGAGCTGATCCATGCTGGTTGCTGGAGGAATACATCAACTTCGCGCTGTGGATAGCCGGATCAGCTTTCACCGTGGACGAAGCAGAGTCCAGCCCGGGGTCGTCACATGTAGTTGCCGCAAGCCCGCCGGCTGCTCCTTCGTCGAATCCGCTGGCCGAGCAGTTCTCAAGCCCGTCAGCCTCCGCTCACTCAAGCCCACCGTGTGTGACGCTGTGTTTCATTGTGAAAGCGAAACTACTTTGTTTGGCCTTCCAAAAGTGGACACAACTAGAAATCAGTGGTTAAGTTTTATTTACAACACTGTTCCAGAACAGTTCAACCCAAATATTCAGATATGTGTCGCGCTTTTAATGGAGGACTGTTTCCTGAACCTGCAGAGTAGCACAAAGGCTCTATTTATAAAGTGGGGCAGTTCCAACTTTGAAAGGACAGTCTGGTGCTTCTGACTCACAGCCTTTAAGTACATTTTTTATATTTAAAGAATTTGACACTGATGATTCAAACGCGAGTTTTGAGCAGTATAGAGTAGCGCTTGTTGTTTGTCATTTCTCCGATCACAAATGCAGACATGGTTTTATGTTTACGTGGCGCGATACGCAACGTAACGTGTAAAAAGACAGTATAAGTCATTATAATCAGTAATTGTGTCCCCACTGGATGCAACAAATGCCTCGTTTGTAATGGGTTTTATTGGTGTTGTCTCATCGCACAGGGACACGACATCACAGTATGGTAAGGGGCGTAACATTTCCGTCACACGTTTGAGGTATTCGGCACTGGATAGCTGGCCAATCAGAGCACATCTCGCTTTTCAGACCGATGAGCTTTGTAAAAATCGACGTGTTTCAGAAAGGCGGGGCATAGAGGAGAAACAATAATGTACAGTGTGTGGAAAATTTGTTTTTTGAACCTTAAACCGCATAAACACATTGTATTACACCAAATATACAACATAATGTTATTTTTAGCAACGTCATATGACCCCTTTAATGATTTTTTTTCAGCTTTTAGGTTTTAGCTCAATTATGTGACATTTCAGTAGCAAATCTATTGGTTGAACTAGGCCTACATTTCTTTGGTCGTAGTGTCACTATTTGCTAGCTTTTAAATCATGTAACATTTTAATAGCTACTATATTGTTCGTTTATCAGCTTTTTAGTTAATTCAGTAAATAACGCTGAAAAAATATTTAAGAACAATGCCTCGAATGAATCAGAGTTTAATCGGTTCTTTTCAGTGAATCTGTCCAGCGGGTCTTCAAAACGGTCTGAATCAGTTCTCGATTCAGTTCGAATTGGTCCAACAGCTCACTCCCACACTGAATCAATCGCTTGGAGTCGTTTCTCTGTCACTTCAATAGTAACAGGATATGTACATATAGAAGCAGAGAACAATAACATCGCTGGATGATGTGAAGAAGGACTTATAGTAAATTGAAAGGAGAGCTGTAGATCATATCGTTTGCTAGCAGTTAAGAAGCTCTTTATTTAAAGTTCAACACCTGTATGTACAGCTTGGAAATGTGTACTGCAGGTCAAGACATTTTCAAAAAGACACTAATAGTAAAGTCCCATATAGTTTATAGTGTAGCTACTTCCTCTAAAGGGTAGAGTTCAGCTTAGTGCCTAAGTACTGCCTAGTTAACACAGACAACTACGCAATAACTAAAAATATGACAAGTATTGGTCAAATAAATCTGTCTTATTTCCCATGTGCTATTCACACAGCTATTGTTATTGAGGAAATAAATATTTATGTCAGGTTGGGAAGGTTTCATAATTAGAGTGAAATCTAAATTTCCAGTAACATACTTATGCTATATCTAAGTAAAAATGATTTTTACACAAAGATTGAACTGTGTTTTCATGATATTGTAATATTTTTCAGTCAACAAAAACTATTACAATATTTGTTGGCCAAAGCAGTTTCATATGTTAAAACACATAATCAGAAATATTCACTGAAGAAAGTGTTTGAATAGGTTATTCATAATTGAGATATTATGAATCATTATGTATTTGTGCAGCAACAGTACATTATATTTTTTTCAGCCATTTTGTGATATACTTTAAACTGTGGTAAAGGACTGGTTGAAAAAAAATGTTCTCTGTTCTACACTGAACCAACGAACCAGTTCAAATTCTTTTGTTCAGTCTGTCTTGATCAGACTATCTGTTTTTTTTTATGACTTTTAGATCACATTCCGTGCTTTTTTCATGATGGTTGTACAGGTTGTGAAGTTCATAAAGCTTCCCTTTGTCTTTAGGTTAAAAGGGAAAATACAACAACAGTACACACATTATTCTGAACTATATCACCTAACATGTTAATCAGTTCTAAAGCTGATCGTAATAACAAACAGCCAAGATTAGGATCTACATAACACGCTATTGTTAAAATAAGAGACTGGAACTATGGAAACTGGCTTGGAAAGATTTCCAGAGTCGTCAACAGAACAAAAGACTGAAAGATGTCTCATGCCGCCCTCTTTTCTGGGAGAATAAATCACAAAGCATTGTCTCCACCCACAAGTTGAGGTAAAATGATAAGTATAGCTTTGAGCTGGACAGATTAGCATCATATGAAACCAGATTCATGCCCCAGGAGAGAGATTGCAAAAAACAATCATGTAAAAATGAGCGAAAACCTACAGCAAATGTATTCTTTTATAATGTATCTAGCAGACAACTAATTACAGAAATTTCAACTAGAAATTTAATTTAGGAAAAAAAAAACATTTCTAGAAAAACTTCACAGATGAAAATACAGTACATCTTTGAATGGTAATTGTGAACCTACATTTACATTTCCAAACAAAAAAAAGAAATATACAAAACAAAAACCTGTTTGTCATCAAGTTAAGAATGCTACCATTCCTGATGCTTATTACTGACTGTGATTTTAGAACATGCTTTGTACTGGAATCTATTACCTCATCTAATTAAAGGAATAAACACTACTGTATGGCAAAGTCTATGAAAGCACTTTTTTTTGTTTGTTTGACAGGCACAATACTGACAGATACATCAAATAAACACCAATACTGTATGTTCATACATGTTTTTTCTCAAAGTTATAAAATATGCTGAGACCAAAATAATTGGCAAGTAGAGCATTACACAAAAAGCTACACTTCAAAGGCTGGAGCAGGGGTGAAAAGTCATGTTGACCTTTTTCAAAAAGGTTTGATCACAGTGTTATGCACAATTCATCTTGAGTATCAACAATCCGAATCAAAGAACTGTGAGAACAGAGCAGCAGCATTCACAAATTCCATATGCGACGGCAAGATATGAGATAAAAAGCCATTTGATATATTCCACTTATGGCTCACCTTATCTTCTTTAACTTACAAAGGCCTTTCAAACTTGTTACACAATCAAAAACCATTGGCTCTGCTATGAAACTAATAATTCATTTACTGAAAAATGACTCACCTTCAGGACATACAGGATGTAGATGAGTTTGTTTCTTCATCGGAACAGATTTGCAGAAATGTGGATACTCTGTAGTGAATGGGTGCTGTCGGAATGGAAGTACAAAAAAAAAAAAATCATCACAATAATCCACAAGTAATCCACACAACTCCATCAATTAACATCATTAGCTGCATGTTTGTAAGAAACAAATCCATTATTAAGCCGTTTAAACTTTAAATGATCACTTCTGGCCAAAATACCGGTCCATAATCCATAATAACGATTCCTCAAATCCATCCCAAATTGTCCTCTCACATTAAAATCCAACAATATATTTGTTTAGAACTGTTTTGGACTGCATATTTCTCTCCCAATTCAGACGAGACACCGCTTTTTGCTTCACAAAATGTTAATTGATGGACTGGAAATATGTGGATTACCTGTAGATTACTGTGATGTTTTTTTCAGCTGTTTGGACTCTTATTCTGACGGCACCCATTCACTGCAGAGGATCCATTGGTGAGCAAGTAAATAATGCTAAATTTCTCCTAATCTGATCTAATGAAGAAGCAAACTCATCTACGTCTGGATGGCTTGAAGGGGAGTAAATGTTCAGGAAATTTCATTTTTGGGTGAAATATTCTTTTAAAAGATTGTAATTTCAACATTGTCAGCAAACGCATTAAAACATATAGAGAATCCTCTTAAATCTGAAAAATCAACTGCAGTCTGTATGATCAGCATCAAGTTTTCTGTGTGATCAGTAGAC